TCTGCCCTCCCTCCGGGTTCCCCTCCTTCTTCCCCCTCCCCCTTGGTTCCTCCTCCTCCTGCCTCCCTCCCCCCACAGGGTTCCTCCTCCTTGCTCCCCCTCTCCCCACAGGTTCTCCTCCTCTGCCCCCCTCCCCCCCAGGGTTCCTCTCCTTTCCTTTCCCCCCGGGTTCCTCTCCTTCCTTCCCCCCTTGGGTCCTCTCTCTGCCCCCCCCAGGGTTCCTCCCCCTCCCCCCCCATGGTTCCTCCTCCTCTGCCCCTCCCCCCACAGCCGGTTACCTCCTCCCTCTTGCCCCTCCCCCGGGTCTCTCCTTTCTCCCCTCCCCCCCCCTTGGTTCCTTCCTCCTCGCCTCCCTCTCCCCCACCGGGTTCCGTCCTCCTTCCTCCGCCGCTGCTCCCCCACAGCGGGTCCTCCTCCTCTGCCCCCTCCCCCCCCACTCCCTCCTCCTTCCTTCCCCCCCAGTGGTCCGCCTCCTTTCCTTCCCCCCTTGGGTTCCTCCTCCTCTGTCCCCCCCCAGGGTTCCTCCCCCTCCCCCCCATCGCGTTCCTCCTCCTCTGCCCCCTCCCCCCAAGCGTTTCCTCCTCCTCTGCCCCCCGCCCCAGGGTTTCCTCCTCCCTTCTTCCCCTCCCCCCCCCCTTTTGCCTGGCCGTTCTAAATCAAAAGTGAAACTGCATCAAACGAACCAGGTTAGTGTTACGGCGCCAAGACGTGGCAACACGCTGTTTGAATTTGTTTTTTTTTAATGCTTTTCTTTTCTTTCTTTTTTTTCTCTCTCGCTATTTCACTTCTTATTATTCTTTTTTCTTTCTTTCTTTTCGTCTGCTTTTCATGTTTGCGTCTGGCGTTTCTTCCCTTCCTCCTCCTCCTCCACCGATTTTTCATTTCCTTCTTCTTCTCTCCTTGTTTTTTTTTTTTTTTTTTTTTTTTTTTTTTTTCTCTTTCGTCTCTTCTTATTTTTTCCTTTTCTGCTTCTCCTTCATTTTCTCCTGCTTTGCGTTATTCTCCTTCTCTAACTTCCTGTTTCTTCTCTTTCTCTCCTTCTTACTCTTTTCCCGCTCTCTGAAAGTTCCTATCTCCCTTTTCTCTATTCCTTTAATCCTTTTCTTAGATTCTCTCTATTTCTCCCTTTTCATCTTCGCAATCTTCATTTCAATCGCCTTTTTTATGCCATTACGTTTCTCATTGTTTGTTATCTCCTACTTCTTGTCCTCCTTCCCCATGTCCTCTTTTATAATTTATCTCACCACCTTGTCCTCTACCTCTGTCTTCTTTTCCCCATTTTTTTCTCAATTCCTTCTTGTCTCCTTCTGTTCTATCTCTTTGGAACTCTTCTCTCTTTTTCCTCTCTGTTTTCGTCTTTTTCCGTCTTTTCCTTCTCCTTTCGCCTACTTCTCTCTCTTTCCCTAACTTCTTCATCTCCTTCTTCGTCCATCTTTGTTACCCTCTTCGTCTCTTTCGTCTCCCTCTTTTATCAATTTTATATTTTTTCTAAACTCTTTATTTCCATATCCTCCACTCCTTCGTTCTCCTCGCGTATCCTCTTCTGCATTTTCTTTTCTCTCTCTTTTATTACCTGTTTTTTGGTCGCTTTAGTTAAGTTTGTTCGTTGCTTACAAGAATATCTCAGGAAGTTATAAATAGATTCTTAGGATTTTTTTTTACGAGAGATTTTATTATTATTAAATAAATAATATTAGCCTCAGCCTAACTCGACGAATGAAATAAACGCGAGAAAAAGCAAAAGGTTTTAAAAGTACGGGCCTTAGATGCCATTAAATCTTGCTCCGAATCCTGGATTTACAAAAAATAATTACATGATAACAATAATATTAATAATGATAATAATAATAATAGTTACAGCCATTGCCTTGCCAATAGTAACTATCATCATTATCATTATCTTTATTATCTGCCTTGGCGGAGGTATGCGCTGTGTGTGCTTCTAGTTGTCTTTTATTTTCTGAGAGTTTTTTCCTTTTTTTTTTTTTTTTCCTCCTCCTTCTCCTAACGTCTTCCTCCTTCTTCTTCTCTAACCTATACCTCGTATTATTACCTTTTTTCTTCAGAAAATGAACATAGGCGAAAGAAAAGAAAAAAAGAAGAAGAAGAAGAAAAAAAAGACGGGGCGTAGAAGAAAATGATGTAAAAAAGAAATTCCAGATAATTAGAAACGAAGACGGTGATACTGGAATAAAGACAAGATCAAACTCAGTCCTGATGAGGAAGGAAAAATAAATCGCAACGTCTCATCATCATCTTCTTTATCTTCCCCCCTCCTCCTCCTCCTTCTTCTCCTCTTCCTCCTCTACCCCGTCCTCTTCCTCCTCCCCCACCTCCTGCTTTTCTAATCCTCTTACTATTTTTCTTCCTCTCCTTTTCTCCCCCTGTTCCTATTCTCCTTCCTCTCTTTATCCCCTAAAAAGAGAAAAAAAGAAGTGATGATAAAGCCAAAGGAAAAGAAAGGAGAGAAAAAAGAGAAAAAGAAGAAGAAATGGGAAAAAAAGAGAAAAAAAGAAATGATGATAAAGCCAAAGGAAACGAAAGGAGAAAAAAAGAGAAAAAAAGAAATGATAAAAAAGCCAAAGGAAAAGAAAAGGAGAAAAAAAGAGAGAAAAAAAATGATAAAAAAGCCAAAGGAAAAGAAAAGAAAAAAAAGAGAAAAAGAAAAATGATTATAAAGCCAAAGGAAAAGAAAGGAGAAAAAAGAGAAAAGGAAATGATAATAAAGAAGCAAAGACAAGAGAAAAAAAGAGAAAAAGAAATGATAATAAAGCCAAAGGAAAAGAAAGGAGAAAAAGAGAAAAAGAAGAAATGATAATAAAGTCAAAAAAGGGAAAAGAAAAAAGAGAAAAAGAAGAAATGATAACAAAACCAAAGGAAAGGAAAGGAAAAAAAGAGAAAAAGGAAATGATAACAAAGCCAAAGGAAAAGAAAAGAGGAAAAAAGAGAAGAAGAAACGATTATAAAGTCAAAGGAAAAGACAGTAGAAAAAAGAGAAAAAGAAGAAATGATAATAAAGCCAAAGGCAAAGACAGAAGAGAAAAAAAAAGAGAGAAAAAAAAGAAGAAATGATAATAAGCCAAAGGAAAAGAAAGAAGAAAAAAGAGAAAAAGAAATGATAAAGTCAAAGGAAAAGACAGTAGAAAAAAAGAGAAAAGAAATGATAACAAAGCCAAGGAAAAGACTAGAAAAAAGAGAAAAAAGAAGAAATGATAATAAAGCCAAAGGCAACGAGAGAAAAAAACCAGTAGATCTCTCGAGAATGAGCCAAGGAGAGTAAAAGGACACTCCATTTGGTCAAAGGAAACGTCACACAAAAACATCAAAGGCCATAAAGCAACAACAACAACAACAATAACAACAGGATATATTCCAACGAGGCGTCAGGAATCGCTGTCTCTGTCTGTATGTCTGTCAGACTGTTAATCTGTCTGTCTGTTTCCCTCTATCTGTTTTTGGTTTTTCTACAAAGAAGTGGAACGTTTGGAAATAAGACACAAATTGCAAAAAAACAAAGAGAGAGAGAGAGAGAGAGAGAGAGAGAGAGAGAGAGAGAGAGAGAGAGAGAGAGAGAGAGAGAGAGAGAGAGAGAGAGAGAGAGAGAGAGAGAGAGAGAGAGAGAGAGAGAGAGAAATAACGATAATTCGGTGATTCCCCCTGACTTTCTGTCCGTCTGTCTGTCTGTCAGTCGGTCAGTCAGTCGGTCAGTCTGTCTGTCTCTCTCTTTTTTCCTTTCCATTTTTAAAATTTCAAGAAACATTTAACGTATTTTTAGCAATGCTAGCGAGTTCTCCGACATCTTTATCCTTAAGAGCGTATCGTTAGGCAAATTAGCAAAAACAAGTTACGAAAACAACACTCAGAAAAACAACGCTATTAACGATGCTGAAATAACCGTCCTCCTCCACTCCTCTTCCTCTCTCGCTCTATTTCTAAACATTACGGAGACATAAATCTTTTTTTTCTCATCATCATTCCTTCATTCGTGGTTTATCGTTAGACAAAACCATTCTAACGGTGCAGTGATTACGGCATTTGTACGGCGCATAACTGACGGCATTTATACGGCGCATAAATGTACCGTAATTTAAATGAACTTTCCTCCGTGAATTTTCCGTAATGGCGGCGATGTGTGTCTAGCGTCGCGCGGGCTTATGAATAATAAACAGAGGATAGCTATTACCAATCATTTTTCTCTGTTTGTGTAATTCTCCTTTCTTTCCTTCTGTCTTGTTTAATTATTTCTGATGTTTGTCTGTTATTTTACAATGGTCTTCTTCGTTCTTTTTCTGCTTTTTAGTAGAACATGTGTGATACGCTTCTAGAACTTCAACTTTCTTAAAAAATAGGAAGCCCGAGATGCGGCAAATTGCATTCATTTTTTTTTTCTAATTTTCAAAAACTGGTCTTGGTGGATTTGTATTTCCGGTTAGCATAAGAAATGTAAATATGAGTGATGCTTATTCAGAAATATGTGCACAAAAATAACATGCAAGCAGGAATTAGTGCAAGGGCGTAACGCAATTTCATTTTAGACAAAAATATGAAGCAAAAGAAGGATTTATGATGTCACAAATGCATGAGATAGGAGAAGAAATTATGCTGAAAGACAGAGGGAAAGAGAGGCATACATACACACACAAATGCATACATGCATACATCCATCCATCCATACATACATGCATACATGAACACACACATGCACACACACAACACACAACACACACACACACACACAACACACACACACACACACACACACACACACACACACACACACAACACACACACACACACACACACACACACTTTTTCTCATTAACACCAGAACCCCATAAAAAACCCCCCACCCACCCACCCCCCACCCACCCCCACCACCCACACACCACCACACCAAAAAAAAAAAAAAAAAAAAAAAAAACTCACTGGGTTGCGGCAGACACCCCCCCCCCCCACAAAAAAAAACAATAACAAAACAAAAAAAAAAAAAAAAAACTCACTGGGTTGCGGCAGACAGGCGGGCCTCGAGTACCACTTGTACTCCACTCTCTGGCCCAGCTTGACCAGGCCGATGTCGTGGTTGTAAGTGGACCGGTTGAACTCGTGGTGGTAGACGGAGTAGACGGCCTGGTAGTCGCGGCTCTTCGTCTCGATCGGGAAACTGCGCACGTGGTCGCCCACCATCACGCGCAGGTTGTTGACGTTCACGCTGTTGTTTTTGTTTTGGGGGGTGGGGGTGGGTGGGGTGGGGTGGGGTGAGGGTGGGGGTGGGGTGGGTGGT